TTAAAGACTCATCTTTTTAAGCAAGCGTTTTTTTAATCTAATTGTCCAAATTCCCTTTTTGAGGTAGACATATTTTACAGATCTTTGGATCATTTTAAAACTTTTTAATTGCTAATTTTTATTGTTTACAAAAATTGTTTTACTATTTTTGTTGTTTTTAGTGTAATTGTGTTGTACTAGTTTTAACCAGTGTCTTAACTTTTTGGAAAGGGCCCTGGAGCACGATTTTATCATGGACGGGCGCTATATAAATACTAACTTATTATTATTATTAAGGACTTCAATAATATTCACCATCTTCCACAACCCGTCTCAGACAGATACAAATTTGGACTCTGCACACTACACAAATGGATTCGTTGCTTCGAAATGATGCTTCACATTGCATATAGACTTCCCTTCCAAAAGTGGAGGATACAGTCAGATCAGTCATGGCAGAGAGAAAGAAAAAGATTCACGAACTTTTTGGATCAGAACTTGGGTTGAAAGTTGACCAACCAAAGACAGGATATGAAACTTCAAATGATGGAAATACTGCACGCAGAGTTTTCAACACTGAAACAAAATTCTCCAACATCTGCGGTCTTGACGAGAATGTAGTTCATAGGTTTAACGTAATTCTGATCGCTTTATCCTCAGGACTACCCATAGATCCCGAAAAATTTGGACCCTACTGTTTGGATACTGCAAAGCTGTGCATTGAACTGTATCCTTGGTTCAAAATGCCAGTCAGTGTGCATGTCTTACTGATCCAAGGAGCACAAATAATTTCATCCTCAGTTCTACCGATTGGCATGATGAGCGAAGCCCAAGAAGCTCGGAACAAAGATAACAAGCTCTTTCGGTTGATGTACGCAAGAAAAACGTCAAGGATGCACACAATGAATGACGTTTTTCACAGACTTATGGTAACCGGTGACATTGTAATCAGCAGCAAGTCTGTGTACAACAGGAAAAAGAGAACACCCGTTCCCCCAGAAGTCCGAAAGATGACAAAGGAGCCCGAACTTGTCATTCTTGTAGAAGGAGAATCCTCACCTGCTCCAACCCACAACCCAAGTGAGCCTTCAGAGAGTGATTCGTCATAAGGTAAGTTATTACAAACTATAGCAGCCTTCTGTGCAGGTAAGTTTCCTCATCCTACAAATCACCTGTACTATAAATAACAATGCAAGAAATGCTTTGTTCCCTCTGATGACATAAAGTGAACATGCATAATTCTGCTTTCTAACCAATATTGCCTAAAACTATATTTTGTTTTGACGCGCTTAGAATATAAGTGTTAATATGAACTACTAAATAACAAACACAAACAGGCAGAAATGAGTTACGCCGCAAAATGAATGATTATTGGTATATTCTTATGTTTACTTAGAATTAATTTTCTTCATTTTTTATGGTTTCATACCTTGGCAAAATAAATATTTTGTAGATTTGGTCATAGTGGTGAATAAAATTTGTTAATTTGTTCAGTTCTGATTGTTTTCATTTTGAAAACAATGATCGGGTGGTAATAAAAAATCAAAATCAAAATTATAATGGTTATAAAATATTATGAACATTGCTTCAAATGAGATAATAAACAATTGACATACATTTGCATAACAATTAAAATACCTAAAAACTTAAAGAAGACATTTGCAAATTCTCGTCAAAAACACAATACAAGACGCACTCATATTTCAGCCAATAAAATTCAGCATCTAAATGACGTCACAGCATTTTGGAATTATGTCTATTGTCTTTTGCAGGTCATAAAACCCCCAATACCTTCATATTAGCACATATAAATCGCAAAACAATTTTGGCACAGTTTGACCTTGAGCTGGCCCACTGTGCGGTGGCTCCACCTTGCCAATCTCGTCCCGATAATTGCCAGGCTTGACCCTTCAGACCCCCACGTCATGAGAGTTATGGTTTCTTTCGCGCCTTTTGTGATACCAGTCACTAGATGAATCACGGCCATCCATTCTCCTCTTGGCCTACCAAGCCACCCCAGAGGAGCTTCAAAGGAGGAACTACTGAGCCGCGCTACCCCCGACCTTCTGGGGGTAGACGTCGTTGACTATTTAGATTTGCCTCCGCCTGCCGATCTCAGACCCGTCGGCAGGCGAAATCAACTCTTCACAGGGTCTTGGAAGAGAGTCACATCGAACAGCTGGGTGCTCGCAACCAATCGTTACTGATATGCCCTCGAATTCACGAGCACCCTTCCGTTTGTACCTATCCTCTGTCCGACTTCAGTTCCTTTCAACAAAAACAAATGACAGGCACTGAAGTCAGAGATACACTCTCTCCTTCGGAAATGTGCTATCCGCCCGGTTCCCAAATCTCAAGCAAACAAGGGCTTCATCTCGACATTCTTCCTCACTCCAAAGAAAGAACTCAACAGCTGGCATCCTATTATCAACCTCAAACCTCTGAACCGCTTTATACGCCCGAAGAAATTCAGCATGGAGACCCTTTAGACGGTCACCCAATCTCTACAGGTTCCATGCTTGGCTTCTTCCACAGACTTGAAAGAAGCCTACCTCCACATTCCAATTCACCCACGAAGGTACAAATACCTTCCCTTCCTGTACAATGGGAACCTCTTTGAATTCACGGTTCTCCCCTTTGGCCTCTCCACTTCACTGAAGGTGTTCTCAAGGGTTGCAAAGATCGTTGCTGCTCACCTTCGAAAGTGGGACGTCATGCTGTTCCAGTACCTGGATGACTGGCTGATCGTCGGCAGATCGTTTCATGAACCCGAGACTTCTACCTGCCTTACTTACGACGTCACAAATAAGCTGGGCTTCATCATCAACCACAAGAAGTCGAATCTTGCCCCAACACAATACCCGATGTATCTAGGGGCATCTATCGACCTTCAATGAGGCATAATCTCACCGAAGACCGAACACATCAACAATCTTCTTGACTGCGTGAAAGTCTTTTCTACCAAGCAGTCTGCTCTGGCCCGTGCCTGGCTCGATCTCCTGGGCTTGATGGCCAGCATGGTGAACCTCATTCCCTCTGCAAGCTGCACATGCGCCCACTACAACTACATCTCTTAGTGCTCTAAAGGCCCTAATGGGACTCAATCAATCTCTGGGTACCCATATCAGACTTCATCTGCCCCCATCTTCAGTGGTGGTTAGTGAAGGAGCACTTTTCTCTCGGAGTTCCCTTCCCCTATGTGAACCCGGCAATAACCCTAAAATCGGATGCTTCTCATCTGGGCTGGGGAGTCTCTCTACCGCCCCTTCAAGCGTCGGGAACATGGGACCTCCAGCTCCAAGGGAGTCACATCAGTATACTGGAACTTCAGGCCGTATTCAATGCACTGAAAGCTTTCCGCCCAAGCATTATAGGCAAACGAGTCCGCGTCTGTTTGGACAACTCCACAGTGGTGTCATACATCAATCGCAAGGGAAGCACACATTCTCCCCACCTATGCCTCCTGACGAGACAGATATTCCTTTAAGCCCAGGATTATGGCATCCACCTCCAGATGACTCATATTCCTGGTGTTGACAATGCCATAGCAGATGCTCTCTCTCGGGGGAAAAGTACGTCCCACGGAGTGGACATCACACACCAGTGTAGTCAAACAGATCTTTGCCGAAGTAGAAAAAACCGAACATCGATCTTTTTGCCTCTGCGGAGAATGCCCAACTGCCAGTGTTCTGCACTAGGTTTTACCACCCGAAAGCCTGGGCAATGAATGCTCTTCAAATCAATTGGGAAGGGATGTTGGACTACGCTTTCCCTCCAATATCCCTAATACCCGCAGTTCTCTCCAAGATTGAAAGGGAACGCTGCCGTGTCCTTCTCATCGCCCCTTTTGGCCATGCTTCCTCGTCTGACAAGACTTCTCGTCTGGGTACCGGTGATCCTTTCCGACGGACCGGATCTGCTACATCAGCCAAAGTCGGGCATGCTTCACCCTCATCTAACGTCGCTACACCTCACCTATTGGCTATTGTCAAACAGTCCTTCAGATCAGCAGGACTTTCTGATGAAGCTGCTGAAATGGCCTCAAAGAGTCGACGCCAGTCTACATGCAACATCTATGACTCCGACAGAAGTTTCTGTAACCTCTATAGCTGACTTCTTCATGCACATGTTCAAATCAGACCTCCAGGTTTCAACTATCCGTAACTACCGGTCAGCCATTGCGGCTATACATGATGGCTTCCCAGATGGTTCGACTGTGTCCGACAATACTGCTCTTAAACATCTACTCCGGGGGATGTTTCTTCCCAGCTAACACATAACGTTGCCACAACGTTATGAAACATTGCGTTAAGGTTGTCATTTGGTCATGTGCCACGATGACATTACAGCAACGTTACCACAACCTTTGAGTGTTCAGTCAATGGTTGTATAAATGTTGTATTCTGGTTATTTTCACAACGTCCTTTGAAAGTTGCCATATAACATTGTGTTGACATTGTGCGATGATAGTTTCTCTAAGTTGAAAATAAGTCATACTCTAACGTCGTGTAAACGTTTAAGTAGGTTTCTGAATAACGTTGCTATTTAGTTGTCGGTATTACGTTGCCATAAGGTTTTAAGTATACGTTTCTTGAAAACGTTGTCATTACGGTGTCCTGATGTCGTCTCATGTAGGTTATTCCATGACGTTGCTATTAAGTTGCCAAAAGCACTTTGTCATAATGTTGTAATGTGGTATTTTGAAATGTTGCTGTAATGTTTTAATCTTGACGTTGTGATGACGTTGAAATGTGGGTGTTTTCATAACGTTGTCGAAATGTTACCTGTTTTTATGTTACTATGACGTAGTGCCTAGGTATTTTCAGAACGTTGCCATTATGTTGGATTTCAGCATTGTGATTACGTTGTACGAAGGTATTTTCATAATGATGCTTTTAAGTGGCAAAGATAGGTTTTCATTATGTTGTGGGTTTTTATCTTCTTTGTGACCCTCTGAAGGGTGTTATAAATAATGGGATGTGCTATCCCAGTAATTAAACAAGTTGTCATTACTTCCTTACCTCCTCTGGAGTAATTGCATTCTTGGGCTCAGTGTCAGCCATCATCTTGATACTGCCATCACCACAAGGTTCATAGCCTGGCTTACTCTGGTAGTAGGCAATCAGTTTTTCAACTGTTTTGTCTGACCTGCGATCATCCACAAATTTAGGTTATGCCATTGTTAGCAGTAATGCATTGATGAGTGGATTTGTGCTCAGTACTATTAAAAGTGGATGAGTCGTAGTTTCAATACTCAGCATGGTGCGGCACTACTATTGTTTCCTTGGATGAGCTTTCATCAGCTTAAAAAACATTAACAGTGGAAAGGGCCAATTCTGCAATACTTCACAAGGAAACTATTATTTACCGCTTTTTTGTCTTCACTCCTTTAAATTTTTTGGAGTGGGTTTCTTTTGGAGTGCAGTTTCCCCCTTGCAATGCCCATGGAGTCCAGTGACATTTTCGGGTGTATTTAGAATGCAGTTGCTGTCGTGGCCCTTTCAATATCAGTTTGACAATGTTTCATTAAGTCTTATTTGCAAGTAGCACCAGGCAGAAACACGATTTTTTGTCAGTCAGTTGTCATTTATATGCAGTTTTCCTAAACGGATTTGATCTCCGATCTCTAATTCCTAAATTACACCCCAAAATCAATTAAATTAAACTCACCGTACGTAAGATTCTGGAAGAACCTTAAGAGTTAGTCCGGAGGAGACATCTAGGCCTTGAATGGGTAAAGAGAAATTCAACATTTTGCATATTAGGTAAGATTTGATTTAATTTAATCCCTTTTCAAGGTAAATCACCCAAAATATAAAAGAATTCAATCAGAATATTCAAGGCAAGAAGAGGTGGTAAAACATAAATAGCCAAAGCCTGTGTAAGACATATCATGCATAACAAAACAGACAAGTTATAGAGTATATGTAGAAATGATAAATACTGAAACTGAATATTAGTATGAAATAAGAATGGAAGACCTGACAATAAAAAAATGAAAGAAAATTAGTTAACAAGATTAGATAATTTAGAGGGCATAATATTTTCTTTCAAAAAGGTTAACTTTAGTTAAAAGCACTGTAAAAGCTTAATCCTTTAGAGACTGCAGAAGAGTAATTCATACTTAAGGTAAATTCCAGAGAATTTAACATTGTTTTAAAGACAGATGTTGTGTGTTGGGGTATGTTAAAATATAACTCCACATGCTTAATTAATGTAATTATTAAATTGCCATTATTTATAAACAATAAAGCAATATACTGCAGCAGTATTTGCAATCAAACAAAAACATTCTCATAGTAATCCTCAGCCGAAGTTGAGAGCCAACCAGTCATTAAGATCGAAAACAGTGCGTGGAATAAAAACACGTACAAAACATATTTAGAAAAAAAATGCAACTTTAATCTCATGTCACGTGACCCCTGATGATTTCATTATGACAATTTTGTTTTGGGACCCCCCTTCTACCTGGTGGACTAAGAGTGTGTACCAATAGAAAGTCAATCGCAAGAGTGTCAAAAGTGTCGAAGTCTGGCTGTTGAAAAAAGTCAACAAACCCTATAGGGAAAATTTAATATTCAAATTCCATAATAAATCATACGACGACGTAATCATGACATCATAAATTTCGGTCTTTTTTTGTATCAGGATCTTTGTTTGATGTAACTTTGATGACGTTTGAAAATTGAAAAAATATCAAAAGGGTGTCTTCAAAAGATGTACAAAGTCAATGGGCTAAAATAAAAATTAAAAACAGTGGATAATGTCATCATGACGTCACTGTTCTAGGACAATTTATGCTGAAAGGTCCTTCATCAATGTACACTTGATGAAAATCCAAAGTTGCAAAAGGACTTAAGTCGATGGTGGAAGAAACATGCACAAATTGAATGGGTTTTTGACAGAGATGGAGGAAGAAACTAGATCTCCTATGTCTGTTTGCAACAGAACATAGGGATTTTTTGCATTTCTGAGCTTTACAATAATAATGTTCGGGCCATGTTTGCATACTTGCAAAGTTTCAACCCAATCCAACATGCACTTCAGGAGATACAGAGATGTAAAGGATGCACCTTTAGTGTCATGTGACTTGTCGAATGATGACGTCATCATCACCTCAATTTTCGTCTATAGCACATCCCCTTCGAGATATCTGCAGTTTCAACCAGATGGAACATGTTCTTTAGGAGATGTTGGGCTTTAAAGGATGTCATGTGAATTGTCAAACTGATGACGTCATCCACAAGGTCACGTTTCGTGTTGTTACATCAGAGTTGTTTACCTGTGTACCTTTTTATATAATAAATCCCTGTGCGCACGCCCCTGTGAACATAGAATCGTCCATAGGTTTTGTCCAATCAACGGTTCTCTTTTCCCCATACACTTACTGTAGCCATGTCAGTCACAGGAAACCCCTAGCGGTCTTACGTAAGCTGTTTTTATTGTCAGCCATGGTTATTGTTTGAATACTGTCTAGTGCACTACCTTATTTTCATAAGAAAACACCCCTTTTTTTGATCCATTGTGTTCTATAGGGCTATGTTAGTGAGAGACAGTTGTTATTTTTGATTGCTTGAGAGAGACAGAGTGAAGTGGGGAGTCTTAGATATTGTGGCAGTAGAAATCAAGCACTGAACCTGAATCCAGCAGCGTTAGCTTGATCGTGTACGATTCACTGAGGACGGGAGAATTCAGTCCCTGTTCCTCTGACAGGAAATCATTCAAGATCGACCAGTGAGTTTGGGCAAACACCAGCCAATCTCCCACCATTGTCCTGATCATCTTGGCCAGCAACAATCTGCCTCCTTTGATCACAGATCTTGAGAAATAACAGTAAGTATTCAAATGTGATGTTTTTTATAGGGATGATTTTGCTTAAATTAAAACTAATCCTGTTGATTTTAATTGAAACTAAGAAACTGTATATAGTATATTGCCTGAGACGAGATGGTTTGAATAATTTTGAGAAGACTCAGTGGGTTTTGGATGAATTGTTATGCACGTAGATGGCTGTTTGGAACAAGAAATGCAGAAATCTGCATGTAATCACCGGGCTCTGAACAATTCGACTGGAGGCCACATCTGCTGGGAAGACGAGAATCGTGGGAAAACAGAGCTACGTTACCTGGAACCTTGACTCACTACCTTTGTGCAGCCTGAGCCCAGTCAGCGTTGCAAACAGATATAGTTTGGGTGATATTTTCATGACTGAATGTGTTTTATGACTTTGCAATTTTTATGACAATTTGTTTCTGGTAAAGTTGTATTCGTCACTCTCACAATATCCACACAAAAGTAATGGGAACTGGATATGATTTAAATGTAATACTAAATGCAAGTTAAGAAGTAACAAGGGTGAAGAATTGAGTTGAATCTATGACACGGAGAGTTGTACAAATAAGAACTAGAACTCTGTGTGTTTGTCTGAGGGACAAAACACCACAGGGCTTTGTCGCATTTTGAGGTTTTGAAACAACCGTCGAAGATACCCAGTTTAATGAACTTAAAAAGAAGTCTTCCCTGTTCACGTGCTGCAACGTTTAACCCAATCGGCCATGTACTTCACAAGATATAGTGCTTGAAGAGTGCACCGGTAATGTCATGTGACATAATGTCAATTTTTATCTGTAACCCTTCCCTTTCTAAATATCTGCTGAGTTTCAGTCCAATCGGACATACACTTTAGGAGATATAGCACTTTTTTAGTGTCACGTGACTTGTCACAAGATGACGTCATCATCCCATCAGCTCAATTTTTGCCTGAAGCACTCCCTTCTAAGATATCTGCAAGGTTTGAACCCAATCAGACATCACATATGTTCATGCCCCTCACTTGGTTGTGCGCGTGTGCAGTGAATCCACTATAGCGACAGAAGCCAGTAAAATGGCTCTTGATTTGGGTAGGTGGACCTCAAAAGTAATTGATCAACATCAAGCTCAGATAAAGTGGTTTGCCCTCTTTTCCATACCGATTAGAATTTAAACACTCAAGCAAAGTCCCTTTTGCTAACTTGCACACTATAAAAATCCATTTTCTGCCAAATTTTTGCCCGTTTTTGTCACATACCTCCAAATTAACAGAGTCAGAAGTTGAATGTGAAGCCAACATTTTAGAGGTTTTTTCAGTTTTGTTAAGTTTTCCCTGACATTTCTCTACTTGTGAATGGTGAAGAATATCATGAATACTTTAATGAGAAAGTATCATACAAGAAGGAAACCGTATGGATGAAAACGGAAACTTTTTGTTTGTGCCTTTTAGTCAGGCAATTTGACGTGTATTCGTGCAATGCAGTAGGTCAACTCGTACCCAAACGCACTCGTATCCAGGTATGTTTACGTGTGCACCATGCCCATAATCTAGACATTTGACTGCTGCCAAACTCAGAGCAGAAATTTGAATCTGCACGAAAAACAAACCGCATATCAGACAAATGGCTCTCAATCTTGAAAAAATGAGCCGATATATAAAAAAATGTGTCAGTCTTCCAGACAGCATCACCGATGATCTCAGGGGAATTCAACAAAAGTGTGAAAATTGGGCGCTAAGTAAGGTGACAAACATAAATGACGAAAATGGGTCCCAATGAAAAACAAAGTCGTCTGCTAGAATAAATTTTCAGGCCGACGACCATTATGTCACTATAGACTTTATGCCTCTGACGTCATCTATCTTTAGTAACTGTAGGGTACCCTCGCCCAGAGGACAAGCAACCGTTCTGATCTGTGGTATGGTCACGGTACGGTACGTACATCGAGCTACGGTCAGGTCACTTGCCACTCGGAGCTTTGATTCGTTGCCTTTCTTGTAAGGTTATCTTATATTATTTGTGTCTGAAAACACTGAATATGGTAAATTTCTGTTGTGTTGTTGGTTGCTCTAACCATAGTAATAGAGATAAAGGAGTGTCCTTTTTCTGTATTCTGGCTGTGCTTGAACACCAAGGGGAGCACTCGGCAAAACTCTCTAAACTGCCACGAGACAAGTGGCTGGCAAACATAAAACGTGAAGAATGGCAACCGTCAAAATCATCACGCGTGTGTTCGGCCCACTTTTTCAGTGGTAAGTAAGCCTATCATTGACAAAACTAATGCTTAAAAATGCCCATTAAGCACGCTTCATCATGATCAAAAAGTTTTCAGATGAGTTGGTCAAAGATGCATCACTCTGTGCGTGTACATCTAACCTAAAAATACGCAAGCATTTTTCAAAACAAGTGGATTAGGCTTAGTCTTTGGCTTTGATGGTTCCAGCCAGCCATTTTGATGCAGAATTCCAAACAGCATGCCAAGACTCCAAAGGAAACTAGCGAAACCAAAGACCAAGCCTAATCCTGGGCCCGATTAAATTCAACTACCCTTTGGCCATTGTGGTATGTAGTACCCTGTCTTGCTCATGCGTTTAGGTGATAGGTTAGTGATCCGTATCTATGGTAAGGCCTAATACTAGCCTACCCTATGCCAGGGTTCATGATAGTTCACTCCTACCTCTGTGCTCTCAGTAACAACTGTCCTTTTCTCCATTGAAAAAAAAATCTGGTTAATTCTGGGGCCTTTAACTATTGAAAAAACTATTGAAGAAATTATTTGGTTGATGACTGGACATGTTTGTTTTAATTTTTCCATTTGTGAGCTCCCCAATGTACAACCTCATGCATCATGCTGCATTTTATAAGGGGCCATTAATCTGCCAAAAAATTAATAAATAACTATTTTCTTTGGGTGGCA